CGACGTTTTGAAATCCTCTGCAAAATCAAAATCGCACCACCCTAATACATATACGTTTTTTGTATACAGCGAAATGTGAATGCAAGCAAAACCGATTGCATGGCATTTATCGAAACAATTGCAAATAGATGTGGCAAATTGGATGAGAAAAAAACAGCAATATGAAAAAAAAGAAAAAATCCCAGCAATCACACCAATGGCTGATTGAATTTAAATATTGATATGTCAAAAATCTGCTCATTTGCCTGTGTAATGCACACATCAATGGATTAATAGGAATTAATTTTGATTTAATTGAAAATGTAATTTTCATTTCAAGCGAAGAGGATTTTTTTCGAAAAAATAAATAATGCCTGTGTAAAATGTTTCAGCCATTTTCCTGAAATATTTAGGGGAGGATTTCAGTTACCGCCACATTAATTATATAATACAGACAAAAACCAACGAAAGCCATGGAAACGAACTGTGGCCTCTCTGAGAAGCAACCAAGCCCACGTGGTATCTAATGAAATATTTGCTTCGAATGAATATTCATAATGTATCACTTTCATCAGTAAATTGAACATTTTGTAGGAAATAGCAAAAATTTATTTAATCCTTGCGTAATCTTTCCGCTCATTTGCGATGAAATGAATGTTCCAATTGAATTAATTCTTGTTGTTGTTCTTGCTGTTGTTTGCGATTCTCATTTCATTCGTTTTTATCTTTGGTTTTATTTCTGTCTGCAGTTAACACTGTGATGTCAACCGCCAAACGGCTGGTTCTGTCCCTCCGAGGACGCAAAGAATCTCAAACGACAGCCGGAACGTCATCAACGCGTCTAGTGTCAGCAACCAGTTTATCACCGGGCCATGAGCTCGACGAGATAGCGGTGGTTTCAGGTAGCGGAGATTCGTGCCATGCACTATCTTATGGAAGTTTAAATCAACCGAATGGGCCATCGTATGCAGGTTAGTACATGTTCAAGTTTCGGCAATGAACAATTTTTCAGTTTGGAATGTTTTAGTTCGAACAAATTTTTTTAAGTTTCTGCCCGCGTGCGTGCATTCCAAAATAAAAAAACCCCACTAAAATCAACAATGAATGCCACACAAAGAGGAAGAAAAAAATACAACTAACAATCTAACAGAATACACAGTCACAGTTTTGTTGAAAGTAGAGGAGTGGAAAAAAAGAGAAAAAGAAGAAGAGATGATGATGAAAATGTTACCCACGGCAAAACCAAACAAAAACTTCACGAAATGAAAGAAAAACCCGCTGAAAAATATGACGTAGAAAAATGACATACTTAATTCTATGCGAATAAGGTCCTTCTCTCCATGCACTAGATCAAGCGCAACAATTTTAATGCACGAAACGACAGTAGATTCGTTTCTTTAACTTGTTTTGTGTGTGCGTTGTTTTTCTCTCTCTCTTGTCTCTCTGTTTCACTGTCTCTCTCTTGCTCTCTCGCCATAAGTGGGATAAATGGAGCAAAAGATGAGAAAAGTTGAAAGCTTGCAGGGAAAAAATAAATTTCATTAAATTGTTTAAAGCAGTGTGAAAAACCTATTGGACTGAATGCGGACGAGACAAAAATCTGCTCTCAAAACCAACATTGAGAGAATGAGAAAACGAAAGCACACACACACACACACACAATCAAAAAAAGAAGAAGAAGAAGAAAAGCAGAAAAAACGGAAAAAGATTTATGTATGCAATGTGTAATGTATTTTCTTTTTATTTTCGAGCTATTCAAGTGCTGTTGGTCTGGTACACAACAGCATACTCCCCATTTCTCATTTTAATTAATTTTGAGGGAATAAAGAATTCGTCCGCATATGTATTCACTTTCTTCATCATGCCAAACAATCCATGCACAGATGCAGACATCCCATTCACGCAACGAACGTCACCAGACAACCCACACCCAAAGAATAAGAAAAAGAAGAAGAAATAACACAGAGCTGCGGAGAATAGGAATGACAAATAAAAAAAAATCATGTAACAGAAGAAGACAAATGCAGGGAAAAATAAAGAATTAGATAGACTTTAACGTAATATAGCACGTGAATGGGATCCAGGATAAATAAAGCATGGCAAAAGGGGTCATAAACAGTATGTACTTTGGTTTCATACATCAACCTGCATTGTTATCGGAAGCAATAGCAGAAATATCAATTCAAGAACTTTGGCATAAGTGGCACGAGCAAAAAGTGCAGAGATTATTGGCATCGGCACCAGCATCAGCATCAGCATCAGCATCAATATTTCATCCCTATTTCATATATACTTAACCACATGCCAAAGCATTTCGCTTGTTCCACTTATCATAGACGATTTTCGCGTGCTTTTGGTTTTCAGAAGCATTCGACTATGTTTATAAAGCAAGCAAGAGATTAATCGCTTGAAAACGGAAACTCAACATGTTTCAAAGAGGAAGATGAAAAAAAATGTGCAACGAGTTTTATTCGAAATTTTATATTATTGTAGTAAAGAAAGTGTCTCTGTTGGTGTTTTCAATGATTGCTGAGGGAATTAAAGCATTGTTCCATACTAAAGTGAGAAATACATTAATTAGATGGCGAACATTTTACGATTTGCTCTTACATTCTAATTTCAATAATATTTGTTCGCTAATGGCCAACCCGTTAAAATATAGATGCCTCTACCCAACTGTCGACCGAATGCCGTCGACAGTTACTGTCTCTCATTCAAAGCACTGCAATAGAAAATGCAATACAACGGGTCTGTTTCGGTCTGAAAACCATATAGCTGCCACAGCCAGATAGCCGTGCGTTGTCCACTTGACTAAGTTTATGACATTCAGTTGAAAGAATTAGCTCCATAAAAATTCCAACAGCATTTAACAGATCAAACGGTGCATATGCTCAGCCATTCGTACAAACAAATCAAATGGAACGAAAGCACTTGAAATTCATTCAATATGATCATCACAAAATACATTCATATGATAAAATGTTACCAAATGGAATTGTTAACCCGGACTTGCATCATTTTGTATTAAATAATTATTTTTTGTGCTCAATGCGGGCCTTAGAGTGTGGAGAATGTGCAAAAAAAACGATGATACGGCAACTTGGCTGGTATTTATTAGTTGTCGACGCCATTTTAAATTTCCTTCGTATGTGTACGATGATGCGTATGTCATGTTTAACCCCTTGAAACACCGCATGCGAGAGATAAAAGTGAGAATTCGATGGAGATGATAAGAGAGAGAGAGTGAGAGTGAGAGAGTGAGGGAGAGAACGAAAGACACCCCACTTGTGCAGGGTCTCAGTATTCAAAGATGACGTAGTTTTATTAATTCTATTTAAATAAATAATTAATTCAGTTCAGATACGTTGTGTGTATCGTATCTGGTACGCATTCAAAATGTATGATAGAATTGCATTGAGCATTAAGCATCCACCTCAGATATGGGAATTTGCGTTGAAAACGAGACGATGAGACGAAGCAAGAAGAACGGAAACGTCAATTAGGTTGATTTCTCTTACGCACATCCACATTCAATTTCCATGTTTCGAGAGCTCTGTACTGCCGCCGCTGCTGCTGATACTGTTGTTGTTGTTGTTATTGTTATTGTTGTTGCTGTAAATCCATAAAATGAAACAATACTCTTGTTGGCAGATGATGTGCGTGCCAAAAGCTTCGTTGAACAGACAGACACTTTCAACAGCAATTCACATTTACTACTAACCTGCCTGACTTTTTCATCACGTCAATTCATTCTCTCTCACTCCTTCTCCTTTTTTTTCTAATCAACGCACATATACAAACGCGCGATCCAGCTCTCAAGTTTCCAGCGATGAGGCCGCACATCAACTGCCGACCAAATCGGTACTCAACAAATACACAAATCACAAATTACATGGCTATGTTGTTCTAGATCGGTATAGAGAGATAGAAATAGCGATAAAAAGTCAAAAATGCAAAACAGTCTTTCTTTTCCCTTGGATATATCGAAATCTGTGCGTTGGTTTTATTGTCGCTTCGTTTTGGATTTTTGAATTTGCCGACGAATTGTACAGATAATACCGTTTGTTCAGCAAGTCTTTTATTCGTTCAGCAAATATTTCATATCACTCGCGAATAATTCACTGCATTGTCGCGCCGCGCCGCTTATTTCATTTCAACCATTTCATTTTTCTGCCACAGAAGGGCGAAAACTTTTCAACGATTTGGCAGATGAAGAATAACACCGAAAAAAAATTGGCCATCTCATCATCAGTGTGTATCACATAGTAGTCAAATGCGCAACGCACCGCAGAATCGGATTTTTTTTAATTCTTCAGTTCACTTCGACTCTCGTGTGTAGCTAAAGCATTGAGTATACAATGGTTGGGCGCGCACTTTTGCTATTGCACTGTACGCGATTAAAGGAGCAACGCAAACAGCTAAAGTTCAACTTCAGTCAATTTAAAATAATATTCTTCTTTGGCTTGGTACTGTGATACTTGGAATGATTGAATGACTAAATCCATCGCTTCACATTATTGGCTCCACTTGCCACATACTGTATTCGCGCTTGTATTCAGAGCGAAAAAGCGGATTTTTTCTTTCGGTGTTCGGTTCTACTTTAGCAACTTATAAAAAGTTGGTGCTTTCTTGTTAAATGCGTAATGACATGCTGAAATGCAAAACGTGTCTACATTACATTAAGCCATCTAAAGGCTTGTCTAAATCGCAGTACTTTTGCCACTTGGTGTTTGTATTGCAAAGCCGAAAATATGTTGCTTTACATATTTCCTGTTCCTTGTTCCACTCTCTCTCTCTCTCTCTCTCTCTCTCTCTCTCTCTGCACCTCTCGCTTCGCCCTCTTTTCCTCTTTTTTCTCTCTCTTTTTTTTCTTTTTTTCCTCTTTTACGCTATCTTTGTCGCGCCGTTTTTTGTTCATTTACGGCGTTTTGTTGCTTCACTGTATATAACTTTTTAATTCTTATCATTGAAGTTTTCGTTCTATGGGGACCCATTTTTACTGTCACACAGTGTATTGAACTCTTTTTACTCGGCTCTTATAAGAAGTTATTATGTAGATCAAATTTGTGGATCTGTGGAAATATGTTGGGTATGGAAATGCGTACAGCGTACACATACCAAAATTAATACGCCAATTTTCGATAAATTCCGCACCGAAAGAGTGTTTTGCGGGTGAGACCCTGGTTGTTTTCCAGATGCTTAAACAGGCGTTCGTCCGCTCCTTTCGCTCGTTCGCCTGTTGGTTGTTTCATTTTTCCCGGCAGGCAGCGCGAATAATGCTCCTTGCCTCGGTTTTGTGGAGTCACAATTATGCCTGCAAGATATTCCTTTTCATCGGAAAGCTAAAAAAAAAAGAGAGAACCAAAGTAACGACGAATATTTACACAGTATGTGTGATAAAATGTATTGTGAGAGGAAACAGTGTGTTTTTTATGTGCTTCCATATAAATGGGCTTGAAGATGCCGCACATCCGATCACAGCCGCACATGATGAAGCCGATGCAAGGAGAGAAAGCCAAGGGGAAAGCGACAGAGAATGAACGGGCGCGCTAGAGACCGAAAAGCATGGCAAATAGACGAAAGATTCTATACATGACATTTTTGTTGATTTAGGTGATAAATGTTAACCGTCTTCAAATTTGCATAATTTACCGATTTATCACCTCAAACCTCCCTATCATCGACTATAGTAAAAAAAAAGAAATAAACGGACTGACCATCGAAACCGGATGAAGGCCCATACTAAATTTAATTCAAGAAAATGTGGTGCGTTTTTTAGAGAGTAAAGAAATCATTTTTTCTAATTGAAAATGCAATTTTCTGCTTTCAAATGACGCAATATTTTTGTATTATGATAAATTTCTCACAAAAAAGGGAAGGAATATTTTATACTTTTCTTATTCAACAAAGAAAAAATAAATAAAAAAACGCCATTCTCCATCTTCTTCAATGCATGTTTACTGTTGGGCTC